TCCAGGTCCAGGATAGTCATCATCTATTAGCTGCTTTTCTCTCAGCATTGCAACACTTACCTAGGTACAGTGTAACCTACACCTCTGCCTACAGATGGGGAATGCTAACTTTTTAATGAAAGGATAATCTAGTTACAATAACTTACTCATGTGATAAAGGTCAGAGCTAAGCTTGGTGAATATTTTGGAATCTGTGAAAACTGCGTACCATTTGCCTCTTGCTGTCCTCTCAACCTTACCTCTAAGCCTTTTTGGATTTCTTTTCTTGGGTCTTGAAATTCTAGACTGCATGTATCCAGAAATTTGTCATTGGATCGCAGTATTCATAGAAACCTAGGGGGAAAAAGTCAACAAATACCTGATTTTAAACTCCAAAAGTCTCAGTTACACAGGAGGATATATTTACAAGAATATTTGTTATTCAGTTTTGAACTCTCTCCAACCCTGACAAGAGCTGTTCTGCAGGACTCAGGGTATGAGAAGAGGAAAGGAAGCAAGAGTGACTGGCTTGGGATTGGTCTTCTCCCTTTTTATTTAGTTTTTTTGGGGGGTGGGTGAGTATTTATTTTGATTGAAAAGTCAGATATAAAGAAAGGAGGAGAGACAGAGAGGAAGATCTTCCATCTGATGATTCACTCCCCAAGTGGCTGCAACAGCCATAGCTGAGCTGAGCCTCTTCTGTGTCTCTCACGCGGGCACAGGGTCCCAAGGCTTTGGGCTGTCCTCGACTGCTTTCCCAGGCCACAGGCAGGGAGCTGGATGGGAAGCCAGGATTAGAACCGACACCCATATGGAATCTCGGAGCTTGTAAGGCGAGGACTTTAGCCACTAGGCTACCACACCAATCCACCTTTCTATTCCCTACCCAGCATTGTTTCAGCACAGGTGGAAGATGTATTCAAATTCTAAGTCTGGGTGGCTGGAAGTAGAGGGGTCCAATTATGAAAGCTCAGGAAGATAGCTAAAACTTTGTACCACCTTTAACGTAGGCACGACATCAGCAGAAAGACAAAGCCATCAGAATCCCTCAATTTTTAAGTGCTGATTGTTTCATGGTATTACAGATACTGGAATGATGTTTGATATGTTCAGAGACCACCAGTGGGAGCAGACGTGGGAACAGAGATCGAGAGAGGCAGAAATCATTTCAAGAGATAAAAATTTGTTATCAAAGGTGGTCACAGCATGGGCGTTCCCTCTGACGTCCCTTCCATATAAGCTCTAGGAAATTATGTACTAGGTTGAGGAGAAAAATAAAAATAGTAAAAGAAAAAAAAAACAAAAAAGCTTCAAAGCAAAAATAATCAGGGGTAACAGGAAATAATAAAGGTTCTGCTTATTTGAAAATTTGCTATATGTTAGCTGCTGTTCCAGAAACTTGAGGTATACTAGGAATAAACATATTTTTTGCTGACATTATAACAAGTGACACAGGAAAAAATATGACTAGGGAAATAACAATATAAAACAGGATGGTTAAGATGAGTCTCATTTTGACAACAGCATTGAGCAGAATCTTGACAGACTTACGAAGTCATGCCAACTTGGGGTTAGAAGGAGTGTTTTGGGGGTAAAAAACCACTAGAGCAAAAGTTGTAGAATAATAGCACACCAGGATACTTGGTGAGGACTCAGCAGTAGTATGGAAACAAATCATATGAGCTTGCTGCTCATTTTTACAGAAGTTAGCTTTTACTTCGAGTCAAACAGGATTCTATTAGAGAATCCAGAAAAGGGAGAAAAAGATCTGAAATACCTTTTCAAAGAATCCTTCTGCCTGCTGTGATACATGTGGACCAAGGGGCCTGCTGTGATACATGTGGACCAAGGGAACAATGGTAATTATAATGAATACATTTGGGATACTATTGCTGGGGTCCCTACAAGGGATGAGAGTAATCGCCATGACAGTGAGCACAGTGCTCTGATCCTGAATGTATTCAAAAGTGGAAGGAATTGAATTTTTTAACTGGATTGGATGATGACAACAGAGGCAGGAAGAGTAATGAACGCTCTGAAGTTTACTATTTTGAGTAACAGGAAGGATACCGTTGTAATCCCCTGAGATGGAAAAGCTGCTGAATGAAGGGGCTTGGGGTTAGGAGACTGATCTGGGGCATACTATGTCCAACACTGACAGCATGTGTTGATGATGAGTATACAGGTAGATAGATGAGTCTAGATGGAGGTATTAAACAAGTGGTATTAAACAAAGAGTTCTCAGATATTAATCAAGGTATTAATCAGGAGTTAAGCTGCTATTTATAGTCAAAAGTTTGAAGTTTGGTTCCTGAGTAAAATGTTTGTATATTCTTCTAATACAATAATACTCTGTACAAAAGAGCTGTAAATTTTAAACAGAATATTAAAAAAGAACTATAAAGTTCTGAGGAGTTAATAAATGAGACAGATTATGGAGGAAAAGTGAGACATAAAAAGTAGCATGGCTTCCTGTTTTAATTCTCACTTTCAGCTTCAATATAATCTTCAGGAGTTCCTGAAAGGACAATCTAAAACTCAGCAGACAATCTTAAGATGTTCTAGTTTGAAAAATCAAAGACAGAGTTTGCAGGTCAAAGAAATAAAAGGTAACATAGCTTCTACAACATAGTATTTGCAATGTTTAACATATAAATTGAAAATCCTCAATATATAAGGAATCTGGAAAGTGTGAGAATTCTCAAGAGAGTAACAGTGTAGGTGGAACAACCCTGAGGTTGGAATTACTCAAAAATAACTTTAAGGTAAATTTTAGCTATAGCTAATAAGAAAAAGTAAAGATGTTTACAGAGGATTAAAATATTGAAGATCCCAACAGAAAGAAAAGAAAAACATGAAAAATGACGCTGGAAGTTCAGTCCTTGTCAGTGGTGCCACATCAGAATAATAAGGACAGATTTGTAGGAAAGAAGGAAAGAGTAAGTTCAGCCCATCAGTGGAAGACAATGGCAGAATTTGACTATACATTTCTTATCATATTTTAATGAATAAAAGATAATTGTGGAGTTTGTGACAAACTAGAGTGTTCACAGCATTAAATAATGCTTGCTAATTCTAGACTGGCTTTGAAAATGGTCACCTAAGATCCTGAATAATCTAGACTTCTCAGCATGATGAAAGGATTGGACATATTATAATAGAAAGTAAAGGGGTACAGTCAGCATGCAATAAACAGTTTTAGGCTGAGTGAATTTCAATCAGGTTAATAAAACACTGAAATCTCTTAACAGGTTCACCTCTACCTCTTTCAGATCTCAATCAACTGGCTGCTTTAGATGTGCAGAACACACCGCCATGCTTTCCTTGTGATGACGTCAAGGCATCAGCAAGCTTCTCAAAGAGCTACATGACCATCTGGGAATGATAAAATCTGACAGGAGGCCAGAAACTGGGTTCAGTGCCTGATTGTATCTGGGTTGGCACTAGTTACTCCTGCAGCACCCCACCCTCCATTTGTACTTCTAGGAGACCTAGACATCTCTCAGGAGCAAGAGAGTAATTTTTGGGACCACTGGTCTGCTGACATCCTCTCTGCCAATGGATTAAACATTCTTTTTTCACTTATCATCATATTTTGTCTGCATTATCCTGATTCATTACTGTTGATAAGGACTAGTACCAAAAGAACCAAATGAAAATTCTAGAACTGAAAGAAACAATTTATGAAACAAGGAATTCACTTGCTTGGCCTTAACACTTGTGTGGTGATGATAAAGAAGAGAATTCATTAGAGATCGAAGAAAATTCATTAGAGATCAATCTGAAAAAGAAAGAAAAGAATTAAAAAATTTGAGCAGGGATATCAAAAGTTCTAACACAGACAATAATTGGAGTCCAGAAAACAGAAAAGAGAATGAGCCAGAGAAAATTGAAGAAAAAAGGAAGAAAATTTTTCTAATGATGAAAGATTCATAATTACAGATTCAAGAAATTAAGAAAATCCAGATCAAGGAAAATAAGCAACAAATGGCTTCTGGACACATTATAGTCAAACATTTGAAAATAGCAAGAGAAAAATGACATGTTGCCTATAGGACTAAGTGATTCATAAAGCCATTGATTTCTTAGAAACCTAGACACCAGAAGATGCCAGAAGAATGTCTTTGAACTCTTTAAGTCGTGGAACTAGATAAGATTACTTTGGAAATAGGTAGAGAAGTGGGACTGAGGAATTAGGTAAAAGTGTTGAGAGACAAAGAATATCAAAAGTGAGAGGTGTACTTGAGAATTTATATAAAAGGGGGAATGACCAATCGCATCAAATGCTGCTGTTAAGTCAAGGGCAGGAGAAGTAACAGTTGGATTGGGCAACTGGGGAAGTAAGACGTTATGACAGAATGGTGGGCTTAGAGACTGATTAGAGTGCATTTGGGAGAGAATGCAAAGATAGGATTTGGAAATAATGGGGAAAGCAACTCTCTCAAAAAGTTTTACTTAAGAAAATGAAACAAATGGTGGCTAATGCAGAGGCTGGGCAAGGGGTTTTTGCTTTGGTTTGCTGGCAAGTTATTAGTGCATTGATTAGCATTACTGAGTATAGATGAAACAGGAGTGAAAACACAGGTAAAAATGGAGAGAATGATCCAGTCTTTAGGAAGACGAAAACAGTTGTACCAGAGCTAAAAGTTGTAGGTATAAATATTTGACTTGAATTCTCTTATCTTTTCCATATTATGCAAACTCTGTTCCTCAGACTTAATAATTTGGAATTTTCTTTCTCATAATAATTGAAAAGTAGATCCACAAAACTACATAAAACTTTATTATTTCCTAGGGTAATAACTTCCATTTTTCTGTGTATATTTTTAATTTTGTGACATTCCCAAATAATGAAGGATATGTTTCAAAATTGGCTTTTACGTTACATTAAAACTCAGAGTATACTTTTCTGTTGCTACTTATGTTACATGAAGTAATTTATCCTAAAACTTGTCATTAGTTGTCTTGGGAGTCTCAACCAGACGTGTTTTCATTTGTATGTGGAAACATGTTCTAATTTCCAACTCAAGATTCTGGAACACATTTCCCATTATGAAGTGGGCCTGAAGGTGGGGGTGGAAACACAGCCCCCTGTTCACACTCCACATCCTCATATTCCAGCAGTGAGGGTGGGATGGTAAGGCTCTCACGGCATGGCAGGCTGAAGCAACGGGGTAATGGAGACCCTAGATAACTGTCTCTCACCCGTAAAGATCAAATGAAGATCCAGGAATCCCTACGGCCCTCACAGCGATGAGAAGGAGGTCTCAGCACTCAGAGTGCGATGGTGAGTTCCTGGCTACATTTTCTGCACAATAGGGTGTTAAGGTCTCTTGTTTCATGCAATTGTGTATGTATGAGTGTACAAACTTGTACTGTTTCTTCTGCACATAATGAAATCTTGGTAACTTCCCGATTCAACATTAAAACATGTTACAGAATCAAATTTTATTCAAAGATCTGCTCTCATGAAGACAAGTGGTGACAAATAAGCCACAAGTAGACATATTTCTACACAAAGTGGATCGCCACAGCCACATGTTGTGCCTCTGAAGGTTCAACCAACCACAGACAAAATATTTGGGAAACATTGTACTAAACATGTATACAGGTTTCTTTTGCCATTATATAGTAAACAATGTAGTATAATAAGTACTTACATAGTTTTGGTTATGAGTAATCTAGAGATGTTTTTAAGGGACTGGGCACTTGTGGATTCAGATATCCATAGAAACCATAGACAATCTGTCCTGGATTCTGTGGGCTGGCCTGGCCGTATTTTAAAGTATACACAGCAAACATCCATTTCCTATTCATTCAGTATCTGCAAGATTGTGAGAGGAGAGCTGATGCTTAGAATAGGGAATTCCCAATCAGCTATAATTTGGTTATTTCCAACATCAATTACTATTTGTTATAAATCTCTAATCATTGACAAACAGTATAATTCTTGGAGTAAGATAATGGTAGAACGACACATAGTTTTGGGAGTGAAAGCAGTTGTTTCCTTAAGTAGAAAATATATTTTATTTAGATTTATTGAAGTAATTTTTCTTGTTCTTCTGAGCCATTATAACTGTCTTGTTTTATCATGTCCTGCTTATCTTGAAATAGAAAGCTGATCAATTTAGATTCCCCTTAGGCTTTCAGAATTAAAGATACAAATGCCTATAGAGGACAAAGAAGAACTTCAAACTTGCTGGAATGAATTAAATCTCAAATGCACGAGGGAAGTTCTTGGGTTCAAAAGACTTAGAGTAATTGTAATTACAACTCATCGAGAGTATGAATTACAGCTAAGTAATTTTGTTTTGAGTACACAGATGTATACTCTGCATACTTGCAGAGTCTTAATTGCCTGACAGGAGGTAGTTTTTAGGAGAGTAAGCAAATTGATTAAGTCACATATGTGAAAGAAAACTTCTAAGAAGGCACACATACATGCTAGCACTGCTTCTGAGACTGAGTTTAAGGCAGAAAGCATTCCCAAGCATTTTGTGAAAGTCTCATGTTGTTTATATACACATTGTAAGGAAACAACGGAGTCATTCACAATAGAATTTAATTTATTGGCATTATTTCTCAAATAACAATTTTGAAAATTATCTTATTATTTTTCCATGATGTATTTCTGCAGGTATGAGGATTATGCCCTCATTTTCCCTGGTCTCTCTCACTACTTTCTTCTCCCACCATTTCTGCCAAATTATTTCAGTAGTACAGGCCTTTAGCAAAAGTTGCGACTTTAATGTTCTGTTATTTAAGTGCTTGATAGGATTATAGGTATAGGCAAAGAGAGAAAATCCAGTATTACATTATCTTTCAATTGTTAGAAAAAGGAAAAGAGCATACACTGTGGTTAATGGAAACAAAGCTGTTCTTACATAGCTCTATTACCTCTATTAGACTATGAAATTGAGAGATAATTTAATTATAATTTGTTATATTTTTGAGTTCAAGAAATGAGTTTGTAAATCATAATTATTTATGCAGACGATGCACTATTTGAAATGATTCATGAGAAAAATTTTTATATGGTTACATATACGACTTGGATTGCTGCTGGCGATGCCCAGAACATGAGTGCCCCAGGGGGTACATCCTTGAATAAACTTCCTCATCTTATAGGAATTAGCCAAGAAGAAAATTACAATTCAATGTAATTACAGAAATGAGACTTGACTTTCACTTTCATGTCCTGGTCTCAGTTCTCTGAACATAACTTTATGTTCTAGTTTGGTAAAAATGTTAATGATGTTTGATAACTGTAATAATCAAGCTTTGTGTGTTTTTATCTGGTGTGACGATAGGAATTGATAAAGGAGGAATGGAATCAGGGAACACACTTAGAACTAGTCTTTTCTCTCCTTCAGTGACTTTATAAGTGGCATATGGATAATATTACGCTAATATTACCCATAAAATGGTTTAAAAATCATTACTTGTGACTGAATTATGAAGACACTAATTTGAGTAACATATCCTACTTTATTATTCCTCTGTGAGACAGACACACAGTACATAGAAAGATACCTAGACAAAGACGAGCGCTCCTATCCTGTTTCACTGCCCACATGCATATCAGGACTGCCTGGTCGAGCACAGATTTCAAAGCTGGAAATGCAATCCAGGTCTCTCCTGTGGGTGGCAGGAATCCGACCAGCTGAGCCATCACTGCTGCCTCCTGTGCTCTGTCTGAAGGGAGCAAGAGGCTGGAGCTGAACTAGGAGATGAAGCCGCGCACTCTGCTATGGGACTTTCCTCTACTAGGCCAAATACCCATTTCTGAATATCATGAATGACACTGACATGTAAATCAAGTCGGAATCCTTTTTGGAACTATTTTCTAGTGAAACAGATTATTCAAATAGCATTAAGCTCATTCTCATGAAGTGAACAGGATTGGAGTTTTAGGGATCAAGGGCCATTGCAGTTGCTCACCTTACTTTGAAAAACGTCACGCCATTCTCCTGAGGCACATGAAATAATTTCCATGGCCCAAACTTTTTCTTTGTGGGAAGGATGAATTCTTTGAGCTTTAAATGTCTGTATTTTGAACTTGCACTAAAAGGCATGTGCTTTTTATTTGCTTGGTACAGCTTAAACTATACATCTTATTTTGTTTTGCTCCTCTAAGCTTCAGTAATAATTATAGGTTTGTGCTCATCAAATCTTGGGCAGAAAACAACAGAAATACTAACAAGAGATATTCTGAGGTTAGAAGAACTGAGCCTGAAATAGTTCAAACTGAATCATTTTTTACTTGGGGTTTATATAACACAAATTGGATACCTACCTGGATTTAACATGCTAATTCTTTTCTTGATATACAGTTTGTTAAATAATCTTTATAAATGTGAGATTGTCACTCATTTAAATTTTCTCTTTCCCATTTGGCTGTAAAGAGACATTTAGAAGTACAGGAAATAAGGGCAAACACATGCAATTCTTGTAATAAATTAATAATGGAAGGAAAGCTATCTTTACCACATTGTAAATTTTACAGTATGACTAGGAGATTTATTTAGTGTCTTAAATGCCCAGAAAATTTCACTAGTTGGTCACGATTGCTAATGCATATTAATGATGTACTCCATTCCACATCTGAAACAAAAAGAACAATGTCAGAAATACAATAATTCTAGTTTCTTTTTGCATATCATATTTTCATATCTTTCATGTTTCTTCAATCTCTTCAGCAGTGCTTAAGGATTTGGAAGATGTTGATTAAAGCATTTCCTCTGATTAATTATATTTTGGCTTTCAACGGTTTTTATTTTATTTTAAAATCAAGTGAACACACATTGTCTGGATTATATGAGCATCTGCTCTTCCCAAGCTCAGCAAATATTTATATAAGTCTAGCTGCCTCCCTGTCCTCTTCAAGTTCTCACTGCTAGCTAACCTTGATTGCACCTCCTCATTAGGCCACCTTCAGGATATGGAAACATAAATAAAACAGGGTAGAAGCCTGTATTTCAGGGATATTTGTGTGTACATAGCTTGTCATTCAACTCAAGTTACTACATTCTCAGAATTCATTCTAAAATCATAGGATCTCTTTTACCTCTGCTGTCTTTAGTTGTTCATCTGATTATTATTAACCAAAAAACTATTTGAATGTAGTGGGTAATTCCTATCAAGAAGATAGGGTATTTCGTATGTCCTCTATAAAATTAATGAAACTAGAAATCCAGAATTTGTTAGAAGCTTAATATTGAATATCTTCTGTATTTATTTTCTTTTTATTCTTAGTATTTGTTCCTTCCTTTTATATTTATATATGGGCAAAGAGAATGTACAAATATAGTACTTAGGGATGCACAAAGATGCACAGGGATGAAGGCTGTTCTTCACCTGGATTTCCTTAACTAAACACAGCTTTCATATGGGGACAGTGCTTTAATCTGGGGCTTTCGTTTTACTTCATGCTTTGATACACGGCAAGAGAGACCTATTTGAATTTATTTTACAAATTGCCCTTTGCCTATGTAGTTTCTGTAGACAGAATAATTTTTTTTTGATAGTGAATTTCTAAGACTGAGAATTTTTGTTCTTGCAGCTTTATGCAATTATGTTCAAAGGGGTTTGAATTAAAATGGAACAGATGTGTCCATCTTTAATTATGGTGTAACAAATTGTGTTACTCTAAGGCTTTATTAAGTGAAACACTCATCTTTATGTAATAATGGGTCAGGCGGTTTCAAAATGATATCTGGAAACATAGTGTATTGCTTCTTCGGCTTGGACTTCAAAAGGGCCGGTAAAACTCAGGAAACAATAGATATGTTATACATACATGTAATATATGTATTATTTTAAGTTAAGTGAAAATCATTTAAAATGTATGACGAACCTTAATGTTCTACAAATAAGAATTTAAAAAGTCAGATTTGACCTCCCAGTCATAGCTAAGGGTTCGTGGGAATATTCAATTTATGGGAATGTTAAAAAAAAATGTCAAATTTAAGGTTTTCTGAAAACTCTCCTATTCTTTTGTGTAAACATTATAAAAGTAGTCAGAAAGGACCTCCTCCCGAAACCCCACCAGTTTCACTGCTTCTAAGTCAGTGCCACAGAGTCTTTTAGGATAGCTGACAGCTAATTAGGGGATCAGCTCATGGCAGGAAGAGCAGGCATCTCAGTGCTTCCATTGTTGTCAGTTGTGCCACTGTTATCGTGTGATGTTGGACATTCTCGGCTTTGCTTTTTCACTTCTGTAACCCAATTTGACACTATTATTTCTGAATCTGTCTTGACAAACTGTTTCATTTAAATTAAAATTTA